AAAGAGGGAGGGGGAGAGAGAGGGAGAGAGAAGGACTGAAAGAGAAATAAGTAAAAAAATAAAGAGAGAGAGAGAGAGAAATAAAGAGAGAGAGAGATTAAGAGAGAAAAAGAGGGAGGGAGGGAGGGAAAGAGAAAAAGAAGGACTGAAAGAGAAAGAAGTAAAGAAATAGAGAGAGAAATAGAGAAATAGAGAGAGAGGAGAGAGAGAGAGAGAAAGGGAAAGACTGAAAGAGAAAGAAGTAAAGAAATAGAAAGAGAGAAACAGTAAGAGACAAAGAGAGAAATAAAGAGGGAGGGAGAGAGACCAAAGGAACTCAAGGCCCATCCCTCCTGTGCCATTCCGCTTAAAGGACTGAACCCCAGAAGAAGAAGCCAAGGTAGAAGAGGCAACCCCATCTTTTCGAGCCCATTAACCTTGCCTGCTCTCCACAGGCGACGCCTGAGAGTTCCTCGCTCGCTTGGGACCACCCAAGCAGATTCCCCCGACCCACCGTGCCTGGTTTACCAGGGTAAAAAGTCGCTAAGTTGAAAGCTTTCCGAAAAGCTTTGAACCTTCTTGAAAGGTTCAAGAAAGATTCTCACCCGCATCTGACTTGGGTGAGAAAGGTGCCTTTCTACTGGCACGTTGTTGAACGCCAGGGAGGATGGAACAAAACCAACCTATGAGGAATAATTTTGCCCGGGACTGGAGACTCCTAAGGAAAGTGCGAGAGTGGGGGTAGAATTGTGCTCGGTGTGTGTGTGAGAGAGAGAGGGGGGGGGGGGAAGGGTTGGAAGGAAAGAGAGGGAGCAAGGGAGGAGTGGAGCATTCATAAAGAAAGATCGCTCTCCCACCTCTTCCCTCCTTCCTCAGGAGCTAAAAGAAATCCAAGAGGGAAAAAAAAGAATGTTTGATAACACACAATACCCTTATAACTGCTTTAATTATGATGGAGAGGATTACCCAGCCTGCACTTCAGATGAAGAAAAAAGATTCACCAGACCTGCTTACAGGTAAGCTGAACTCTTTAAGCTGGGTGTGCATAATTTTGGAGCCTGGGAAAATATTTCCTTCCTTCCTTCCCTTTCCCCTTCCTTACTTCTTTCCTTCCTTCTTCTTTTCTTTTTTTATTCCTTTCTTCTTCTTTTTTCTCCCTCCTTCCTTCTTCTTTCTTTCTTCTCTCTCTTTTTTCCTCCCCCCTCTTTCTTTCTTCTCTCTCTTTCCTTTTTCTTCTTCCCTCCCTCTTTCTTTCTATCTCTCTTTCCTTCTTTCCTTCCTTCTTTCCTTCCTTCTTCCTTTCTTTTTTATTTCTTTCTTCTTTTCTTTCTTTTTTCTCCCTCCTTCCTTCTTCTTTCTTTCTTTCTTTCTTTCTTTCTTTCTTTCTTACTTTCTTTCTTTCTTCTTTCTTTCTTTCTTTCTTTCTTTCTTTCTTTCTTTCTTTCTTTCTTTCTTCTCTCTCTTTCTTCCCCTGCCCTTCATAAAGATCTTAGCAAGGAGTAGGAGGCAAGATTAGAAAGTCGATCGGGTTTTAGATTTTTCTTTTCATAGAGGAATAACCAGCCCCTGAATATTTTTAAAATAGCTCTTTGGTAGGAAAAAGAAAATGATGGGAAACCTTAGACGAAGGTTCTCATTCCGTTAGGTCAAAAAAGAGTGAATTTCATGCTGATGTGCACCCCCAAATCTAAGTGGGGTTGTGGCTGTTGAGTCTGAAAACTGGTATCTTAGCTATATCTCTTAAATCCCATTTTTTTCAGTTACTTTTAGACTTTTGCAACTGATTGGCCCCCTCCAATGAATTCTGATGGGTTAAATTTGCACCCTGAGTTAAATTTGCCCCGTCTTTCATTTTGGAGAAGAAAGAGGGGTTTTCCAATTTTTCTCCAGACAAAAATGAGCTGGACCCACTGTTCTAACTCTTTAGATGTTGCTTTTATGATTAAACTTCCTCCTGGATGAACGCCCTAAGAAGAAAACAAAATAATAATAAATTTTAAAAAAGCAATGAAAGAAAGGGTGCCCTTGGTTGTTAAGTTCCACCAGGTGAGATATTTGCATTAAATGGATTTATTCATCCTGACCCTGATTAAAAATACCCAAGGAGTGAATTTAGCTTATTTGTAACTCACTTTTGCTTTCTATGCAAATAACTCCCATAGAAGTCAGGGGTGCAGAATCTGACCCAAATTTTGCCCCCCCCCCCCCAAATGCATTTAATCCTTGCAAAATAGCCACCAAATAATTAATTCTCTGGCTAAAAGTCACAATCTCCTGCAGCTCACAGAAGTTACAGCTCTCAGAAACTTTGAGTTGATGAAGTGACTGTGTCTAAGCATTTTAAAATAATCATTTTTTCCCCTTCCCTACGGAGAAGAAAATACAGATTCTATAACAGAACGAAGAGGGTGATCGTGGTCACTTTATATCTGTGGAAAATATAAGCAGGATATTTGCTTCTTATTTTTTAAAAAAATAAATTATTTCAGAGCTGTTGCTTCCATTTGGCCAATATTCCTCACTAATCATGCTTGCAATGTGGACTGAGAGAGAACACAAGACACCTGTATTAGGGATAAAACTTAAAAACCAGATTTCTACCTAGAAACAGGGCACTGACACCAAGCAAGAGAATGGCTGCCTTTGCACATTTCTTATAAGGTTACATTTTTCTGGGTATAACGATACAAGGTTCTTCTTTGATTGTTTTTTTTTCATGTGCAAGCTACCCAGGGTAGTTTGTGGTTATCAATCTATCCAATAATATGGCACTGATGACAGTTCAACCCTGTGCTACAAATATTTGCTTCCATCAATCCAATAATAACAGTATAGAAACTAAACAAATTACATTCTACCTTTCCAACACAATGTGTGAAAACTATCAGTGGTGTGTCTATATCTATATATCTATATCTATTACATCCATCATCTATCCATATCTATCCATCTCTATCAAGTATCTCTCTCTCTCTCTTTCTCTATCTATCTATCTATCTATCTATCTATCTATCTATCTATTTCTATCTTCTATCTATCTATTGATCTATCCATCCTTATCTATCTATCATCTATTTATATGGTCACAGTTGTGTTTTAATCAGCAGATCAAACTTAAAAATAATAATGGTTTGCTGCAAAATGTTCAGTGCCTTGTGTTCGAAGAAACTTACTAAGTCTTCACTGAACACATTGAAGATAGCAGCCTCTGCACTACAAAGTCTACCGAATTACCCATTTTCAATGTCTCTCTATGTCTTCCCCTTTGCACCCAATGAGGTCCTGATGTTCTTCATTTGTTCATCTTTCTCTGGGCAGCTACATAGCTTTAATCGCCATGGCCATTCAGCAGAGTCCTTCCAACAAGGTGACTCTTTCTGGCATCTACGATTTCATTATGAAGAAGTTCCCGTACTATCGGACGAATCAACGAGCCTGGCAGAATTCCATTCGTCACAACCTGTCTCTCAACAGCTGTTTTGTCAAGGTAAGCCTTCAAGGCACACCTTTGCAAACATGTGCCCTCCATCCATGCACTCATCCTGTTCTGGGTTGGGTCATTCCTACAATTTGCAGTTGCGGGCATGAGTTGGCTCAGCCTTGGTTGTCTGAGAAAGCCTTTCAAATTACTTTCCGTGAAGTTATTATTGGATTGATAGAAGAGAATAGTTGTAGCTCAGGGCTGAACTGTGGAGTCCTTGGTGCTCTCTGAGCTTGGTGATTTTCTTGCAGACGTTTCATGACCCAACTAGGTAACACCATCAGTGCTTAGAAGGGAGTTGGGTTTGCAGAGTGCAGGAAGAAGAGGAGGAGTGTGGGGTCCTTGGTGATCTCTGAGCTTGGTGGTTTTCTCGCAAACGTTCCATGACCCAAGTAGGGAACATCATCAGTGCAATATTAGTGGATTGATTGATTAAATTAAGAGGTCCCTCAACTCCAAACTACCCTGAGTAGCTTGCAAGTGAAGAAGTAAGGAAATCATAAAACAGATCAAAGAAGAACCACATTAGAGATGATAAGCAAGAGATGATGAATGTGAACGTTCCAATCCTGGTTATGGCATTTTTTTAAAAAAAAAGCTAAACAAAACAAAACTATGGCGATTTTGGAGAAAACCACTCTCCTCATTTGAAGAAGAGGTGGAGGGAATGAATGGCCATTAAGTGGAGATGTTTTAAAATATAAGTTCAGCCATTTTGCTGGAAAAGAGGAGGAAAGAAAAAGAGAGGGAAAGAAAGAGACAGAGAAAGAGAAAGAAGGAAGGAAAAAAGAAAGAAAGAAAGAAAGAAAGAAAGAA